AAAAATGTAAAATCCAGAACCCAACCACATCACAACTTTCAAACATTGGGTTCTGTCACAAAAATTGTGTCTACAACCCATTTTCTAAAAGCATGCTGTGTGTTTGATGGTCCTTTTTCTCTTAATTACCCTGAAGCTTATTGCAGCTTTTTGGCTGTATAATTCATCTTATCCTTTTGGACAAGAGTAAATGGAGTCCTCTCACTTATAAGAAACATAAAAATCTATAAGATTGATAATTATGAGTGAATTTTATGGTTTGGTCTCACCCAAGGTAGGAAACTGGAAATAAGATACAAGTTATTTTTGAATTTTTGCAGATGTTGAGTTAATAATGATAGTGGGATTTGTTGTTGACATTGATGGAAAAAGTAAATATCTCGACATTCATGGAAAAATCATATTAAGATTGGAAGCCTTCCAATCTATGACATCAAGCTTTAATTTTTATAGCTTAGGTTTTCTTGCTGCTGATATAGGAGAACCTATCTGATTATTAGTAAAAATGAGGTTTTAATAGCACAGATTTATCAACCACCAAGGATAACAATATAAATTGAAATCAATTTTAACTAGCATGGTTAATTTTGAACCTTCATTTAAACATCACTATTAGAACCATAATGTTATGTCATGTTTTGTAACTAATTAACATTCTTCTAGTTTAGATAGACCTAAATTTTCAGTTCATGGTTACCCGCATTTTGTTCAGTGGTAGTGTTGATGTTTGAAGCAATTACTTCTATGAAATTATGGTATTTATTTGCCTGTGGAACTCACCATTCTACATTGTGAAACTTCTCTAATTAATTAAAATAAGTTCTTGACAAATTATTCTTTGATATGACATAAATACACTCTTGTATCTGTTAGTTGTTTACTGATTAGAATGTTATGTGCAGTGTTTTTTTTCTGATCAGCCGATTCCCCTGTTTTCTCTTATTTCCTATTCTGCAGATGCTTTCATTGGTGTAAATATAGGCACGGCACTCTCTGATATGCCAAATCCAACCCAGGTGGTGGCACTTCTCAAGGCTCAGCAAATTCACCATGTCAGGCTTTTTGATGCTGACCAAGCCATGCTACTTGCACTTGCTAATACTGGAATACGAGTTACGATATCTGTTCCCAACGATCAGCTACTAGGCATTGGGCAGTCAAATGCAACTGCAGTCAACTGGGTTTCTCGCAATGTTCTTGCACATGTTCCTGCCACAAACATCACTGCCATAGCTGTTGGATCTGAAGTCCTGAGCACCCTTCCAAATGCTGCTCCTATCCTAGTTTCTGCAATGAAATTCATTCATTCTGCCCTAGTGGCTTCAAATCTTGACTCCCGAATTAAAGTTTCTACTCCACATGCTTCATCTTTAATCCTCGACTCATTTCCACCCTCCCAAGCTTTTTTTAACCGCTCCTGGGACCCTGTTATGATCCCGTTGCTCAAATTTTTGCAGTCTACTGGATCCTTTGTTATGCTGAATGTGTATCCATATTATGATTACATGCAATCCAACGGTGTCATTGCTTTGGATTATGCTCTATTTCGTCCACTCTCTCCTAACAAGGAAGCTGTTGACCCTAACACACTCCTGCATTACACCAACGTCTTTGATGCTGTTGTTGATGCAGGGTACTTTGCAATGTCCTATTTAAACTTCACTAATATTCCCATCATTGTAACTGAATCAGGTTGGCCTTCCAAGGGTGACTCGTCTGAACCAGATGCAACTCTTGACAATGCTAACACTTACAACAGTAACCTTATTAGACACATTTTTAACAACACAGGGACTCCCAAACATCCCGGGATTGCAATTAGCACGTATATTTATGAACTTTACAATGAAGATCTTAGGCCAGGGCCTATTACGGAGAAGAACTGGGGCCTTTTTGATGCAAATGGGATGCCAATTTATATCCTACGATTGACTGGTTCTGGGACTGTTTTGTCGAATGATACTACAAATCAAACATTCTGTGTTGCAAGGGCTGGTGCTGACCACAAGATGTTACAAGCTGCCCTAGATTGGGCTTGTGGACCAGGAAAAGTGGATTGTTCTCCTCTGTTACAAGGGCAACCTTGCTATGAACCGGATACCATAGCGGCACATGCCTCATATGCTTTCGATACATATTATCACAGGATGGCTATGGGTGATGGAACCTGTAATTTCAATGGGGTAGCCACCGTCACCACCACAGATCCAAGTACGTGGCCTAAATATCTTCCTTTCTGGAGCACATTTATCAATTAATGCTTTAAACTATTTGCAATAGTGATGATCTAATTAAATCAGTTCAAAGAGAATACATGTAAGATGAGAACTAAAGTAGGCACTCAAACCATTTCATGCTTGCATGTAATCATGTTAAACCACTTGCTTGATTACTCTTCTTGTTTTAGAACTTAAAATGCTTCTTGTTGAAACTATGGATTTTGAATGTTAGCGCTACTCATTTTTAGAGAATTAAGAATCCCATAAAATGGAACTAATTGTTCCAGTGGTCACTGAACTTAGGCCTAAGTTGGTCACTAAAGTTTAAAATGTCGAGTTTTGGTCATTGAATTTACGCCAATGTCTTTGATTGCTTACCGAAGTTTAAAACTTCAAGTTTTGGCCAATGAACTTTGAAAAATGTTGTACGTAACTCACTAACATAATTATTGAATTTTAAAATATATCAAGTTTATAAGGAGTAATATACGACATTTTTCAAAGTTCAGTGGCCAAAACTCGATATTTTAAACTTTAGTGAGGAATCGAAGACATGGATCTAAGTTTAAGGACCAAAATTCGACATTTTAAACTTCAGTGACCAATCAAAGACATTGAGCCAAGTTCATTGACCATTGGAATAATTAACTCCAGAAAATGAGTGCGTGCGGAAGTATAGGAGATGAAAGATATTTAAAGGAAAACAAAAATGTACCTCCTGTAAAATAATTGATGGATACAGAAAATTTCTTATAACTAAATTTTAGTTGTGCAATTGAAAAGTAATATGAAATTTGATAACTCGATAGGATTACTAATATCATTTTGTCCTGGTGCAGGTCATGGTTCTTGCATATTTCCTGGAAGGTATGATTGATTTAAGCTCGAATTTGGTTATTCGGATTGCTCTGATATCTTTCACAATGTCTTAAGTTCAATTACTGTGAAGTTCACTGAAAAAGTTCTGTTTTTACGTTCTTGCAGTGTTGGAAGAAATGGCACCTTTACGAATAGCACCCTCCCCATTCCATCCTCAAACTCTACGGTATCTGGCTGTCATTCACGATATTTCGGTAGCAGCGATGCTTTCACGACCTTAGTAGTACTTGGTGTTCTACTTTGTGGTGTTACATTTTTGTAATGGTATTTCTTTATCGTGCATCTTTTGTAAAAGCATTGACAACCTCGAAACAATTTTTCTGCTGTTGCTGTAACTTATTATCACACCCAGTTTTGTTACTACTCCAAGGAGTGAATGGGGTGACGGTCAATTAAGGAAGAGCTTCTCTGGCTATTAGGTGTAGAATTTGGTTCATTAATTTGTAAAAACAAACCAATTTATTAGATTTGGAAAGTAATTTGAGAATTCTGACTAGAAAATCTCTCTTTGCTCCTCTTCTGCATCTGTCCACTGCCAAATTCTTTCATTATGTACAGAATAAACCTTTGTTCATGAATCTTTTTCATTTTGAAGGATTTTCAATGTGCTTTGTATAATCATCTCTGCAGAAGTAGTCCAGCCTAACTTAAATGCTCGACTCGAATATGGTAGAGCGATGTTGTATCGAGTTGTGACGTGGCTGAAATTCACACTTGGAAATTTATTCTTACAATATTAAAATGAAATCAACCCCAAATGCTCGATAAACTAAAATAAAGCCTTCATTTCGGAGTCAACGCACCTGGAACACAACATATCTCCCGTCAGCTCACGACAACCACATAAGGAGTATGTTGCGTATATTATATATATCTTTTATCTTGCTTAAAGCTCAAGTGACTTAGGTAGTAGTGTTAGATGCATGTGTATGTAAAGACCATGGACTATACATTTGTCTGAATACTTTCTCACATACATATGTTGAATTGAGATCTACTGTATCACATTTAAAGTCACAATTACTTGGTCATGTAATTGAGTGCTTTCTTTGGACCCTGAGTTGTCATTTGGCCACAGTTTAGTATTTTTTTGTTACGTACGTTAGAACTTCGCATGACATGCAGTGCAGACAAAACCAGAAGAGACTGAAAATCTGCAGCCCTGATGGTGGCTTGTTATTGAAATTGTACTTCGGGAGCTACAGCCAACACTCTAAACACAACGTGTCAGCCCATGCTGCCTTCGCGAGTTCTTGACCGGTAATACAAATGCCACACTCATCACACCTCGGAATGCAGTGGTAGCATCCCTTACATTCAATTGTCTGAAGCTGCTGCTCCTTCGGACGGAGAATTCCAGGGCAGTCGAAAACCATTCGTATTTCGTAACACTTGGGACACACATCTACATCTATTGGATAATCGGTTTCTTCATGTTTAAGGCTCGAGCATTTCTTGTGCTCATGATATAATATCTTCACTTTCTTCTGCTGTGTTTGGTCCAAATCTAGTAAATTGTGAAGCGTGTAAAGGTCTTCTTTCTTCATGTTGGAGATGCCAGTGATTTTTAGGCTCTTTAGTCTCTCGTTGTTTTTTGTTAGCAACTTCACTGCTTCAGTCAATCCCTCTGGTGTTAAGCTCGTGCAACCTGGGCTATAGAGCTGAAAAAGAAACATGTGCCCTGTTGGCTAAAGATTTTTTCAGTAGATTTTGATAAAATTTGATAAAATGTGTGATTGAAGAAAGAATTAAGCTACTTTGCCAAAAAAATGTTGACATCCTGTATTGGTGGTAAGAAATGATTGAATGTAAAAGTTCATTATTTCAAAATAGTCCAACGATAGAATGCAACATGGTATTTGTTAGATGTCAAACTTAAGTGGTAGTGTAGCATGGTTGTTGAAGAATTGATAGAAGTTGTGGGTTTCATAACATTTGGTTAAAATTAATTATTAATTTTGAGTTAAATTTTTAACAACTTTTTTGGCTAAACCAAACTGGTGCGTTAGTCTTCCTGTAAATTATGCAGTCTAGTTGAACTCCTTTTCTCATAAAACTATACGACATGTCTTACCAAACAATTCTCGCGTTTGAGTAGTTATTTGGTACTTCGAGTGCGAACCATTTGGTAAGAAAGTGTGAACCTTTGCTTATGTTAATTAATCGACCTCTAATTGGTGGAATTTTGGGCTCAATGTACCAATCTCAACCTTATCAATACACCCAAGCAAACACGACCCAAAACCTTAAACTTTTTCCACACTCCGATTGCTCAAGATTTGTAACCATTTGGACACAAAGAGAAGGTGTTTGTTGCCACAAAGGCTAGAGAAGAACATGAAGAAACCGGCCAAGCAAGAGCACAAAGCAAAGATCCAAGGACGTTTTTCTCTCAATCAGGCAAACACATTTTTGACAAAATACAAAGAGTCTAGCATATATAGGTTAGGTTAGATTAAAGTGATGTGGCCAAGCCCAATACAAATGTGGTAAGTGAGCCAATATAAGACATCCAATGAGTGTAAAAATCGAGCCATGAACAATACTAATTAATTAAGTTGCTTCCAAATGGTCCAAATAATTTTAAGGTAGGGTCATCAATCTTGGGTGTCGATATTTATTTTATCCAATATCGATTAAACACCATCGCCCGAATTATTAAGTATCAAAACCCAATAGCTTATGAACAAGGGACAATTTTTTTTGCAATTGCCATGACATGACAAAATGCATTAACTACAAAATAAGATTTAAAATATAAATCTCCCGCCTACGTCTATCTTCTCACAAAATTCGACCAAATTTTAGAAAACAACCTTTCTAATCAATAATAAAACAACTAAATTGAGCATTAAACATCAATCAAAGCCAACATATCTTGTAGCAAGAAGAAAACTATACCTTGGAGATAAAAGGATTTTCCTCTACAACCTTTAGAAGTCAATCATCAATAATTTTCAGTGTTTTTCAGAGCAAGAACCCTTAGCTGGTCATTCACTTTCGATGTAATTTTGATCAGAATATTGTCTGAAAGACGCGTGTTCATAGGCGGTTCAACTATTACATAAGCCAAGGCAATATGTCATTTTTTATAGCATATCTGTTAAGAGATAAAATCACACATCGAATAAAGATGAAAATATAGATCAATTTATAATGGGTTTGAGCTACCCCCTCTTAACAAAATTGACTTTTTAAGATGAAATTCCAAATTTTAACATGCTATCAGAGTCCATTAAATTCCAATGAACAATTCAAATCCGATTATGACTCAAAAATGAGTATACAGATTTCAAGATTGATCTGCTCAAAAGAGCCACAATCTTACGGGGGGCCCTTAACATAGTATCAGAGCCCATTAAACTCCAACGAACAATTTGATTCGATTATGACTCATAAATGAGTATACGAATTTCAAGATTGATTTGCTCAAAAGAGTAACCATCTTATGGGGGCATATTAAGGGATAAAAAATCTCACATCGAATAAAGATTGTTGACACATAAAAATTCAGCTCAAATCGAACAGCCCAAGGAGTAAAGCCCAATTGAAGGATCTCCAAATCGGATAGCCCAAAGAACGAAGTCCAATCGAACGAATCAAGGTGAAGGCCCAAATAAGGGGTCCAAGAATGCGGTAACGCCATCGTCCAAGTTTGCAAGTCGCCCAGAATCTGAACGAATGGAGTATCATACGGTCGCCCAGAGCTGTTATTCTACTCTCGCCCAATCCTTCAAGTCGCCCAAGGTATCAACAAATATAACGCATCGTGGTTATCAAGGAATGCAGTTATCAAGGCAGTTGTTAAAGTAGCCTTATCACGTTCCACGACTCAAGGAATTCAATTGAAAGCAGTTGAACGATGAAAGATAATGGCAGCAGTTAAAAGGCAGTTTCATGACAAAATGGCCACTACAAAGAAAGTGGGTAGTTATAGGACGATCAAGCAGTTTTTAGGGTAGTTAATCACAAAGAGATCGTCTATGAGGTATAAAAGGGAGAAAGGACGCAGAAGCAAAGGACCGAATCCAAAACTCTCGAACAGAGAATATGTCATTTTCATTTCCTTAGCTTTTAGACTTAAACATATTTCTTTCTATAACTCGTGTGCTTGCGCCCCTTGGAGGCACGTTGTTTTTCATTCCCAATTGTAAAGTTCATCGCCAATAAAAGAACACCCCTTTTTGGGATTTTGTCTCAAGAGGTTTCGTCCCTTACACAATCGTCTGACCCTTTTTAATTGTTAGCGACTTAACCCGCGCGAAACAATTTGGCACGCCTGATGGGACGGTGGTGTTAGGTGTTGAAAATACAAAAGGTGAAACGATATGCCTCAGAGATCCGACAAGGAAGGAGCAAGTTAGGGAGGAATCCAGTCTGTAATCGAGCGATATGAGGAGCAGCATGCCTCTCCACGAACAGATGGACAAAATCAGAGCAGTAACAGTCGTTACGAACCAATGATGGAGTTGAGTCTTCGAACCATGCGTGCATTGCTTGGAGAACTCACGCAAGACGTCGTTGAACAGGTAAATCTTCGAAGTATTCATAATATGGAAAGATTTACACAAAATGGAAATGCACACTATGACAATATGGCCAAACAGCTAAAGACGTTAAACGAAACAATGAATAAGTTAGTAGGCCAAATATGTCAACCGGCTATATCTCTTACAAACCAGGACAATTGTGGGACATAATCCCTCTGTCCTAAATCCGAATCAAGGGGTGGAATCGCTTTCTGGTCCCTCTACTTCAAACCAAGGAGGTACTACAGTGCCAAATCAAAATAATGGTAGTGGCATGCCTAACTTGGGGAGTAATTCAAACGTGAGAGATAATGTCATAAACAATGGACAGAATATTTCATGTGGTAATGAGGGAACAGATGTCCAGGCTAACGGTAATGGACCTAATTATGGTAATTTTGTTGCCAATCAAAGACCAAACATCAGACCTCATGCAAATCAACCGGTTAATCAGCCTGTAGGAATTCCATATGATCCCAATGTCATGTTGAGGAACCAGATTATGGAAATCGTGCAGGATCAGATGGCCTTTGGGGTGCGTCCTGTCATTAGGCCGACGTACACAAAACTATATCCTGATTGGGTAGACCAAGCATATCCATGGCCTAGAGGGTA